TGAGCATGCGGTGAGCTGATAACAAAATGAATTGGAGGTACTAATAATGCTAAGGGATTCGGGGGCGCATCAAAGGGGTCAGCACCAAGGAATGGGATAGATTTGTGCCCAGTTCGGGTATGTATATTGGGTATAGAACGGAAATTATTGGCTTAACCTCGGGCGACTCCTACCAGTATTACCACCAATGGCGCATGGCTGCTGATCTCTGTGATAGAAATGAGACGTGTATGTGAAACCAAAATACGGCTTTTCAAGATGTATGTGCATTTTGTGAAGATCTGATGTAAGTCATTAGGGATACCTTGTTGGGTCTTGCCAACATTCAATTATTATGATGCTCATATCTATGCAATAACATTAATGGAATTATCAGCAAGAATCAATAACCCCAAGAGTATGCAGCTTTGTACATGGAGTCTGCCACAACACGTTGACCAAAGTACATGAACCTAGACACGAGCTGGGGAATCAGCTGAGCTGCTGCATCATTTATGATCTGCTATAGTTTCCAGTCTCCACGGAGGTTTTTCTTGGAGACGTCGAATCTACAGTATTAGGTGTGAAACTGTTGTACTAAACCGCAGGAGATAGAATCTATTCAGCTGAGACAACATTTCACTACGTACGGAAGGAAGTACGCCGATCAAAGCTTGCTACACTCCCGTTTAGTCAACTTAACGGCCCAAATAATGCTTGGGTCATGAACTCATCGCTGTTGGTCTTTCGAGGGTGCCTGACAATGGTTGTTAATGCACAGCACCAGCCGAGCCAAATGACAAGATCAGAGACATAGATCTTCCTAGTTCAATTGCTGAAACGTGACTTGTGCAAACGTTATGTAGCAAAAGGAACTGTACTACGGCACTACACGCCATTCACAATAATCAAAAATGCCCACATGACAAAACAGAATTTCATCAACGGAGCCCCGGGATTTTTTCTTCTGTACTTATGCATTATGGAGTCATAGCATAAGGGAGACGGCACGGTAGACTTTCAGCCTAAATCATAACGAGGGCCAGCTGGGCAGCTCAAAAGAGAGCTCTATGCACTATTGGCAGAGTGGTATACATGAATAGAGAGTGACCACCCAGTGCGTGAAGCTTTTCGTGTCACCCTAGAACATTTCAAAAATTGATAATGTGGGTTCAACCCCGGGCTGCCAGTGACAGTTGCCCTTACTGCCTTAGGGGCAAGTGCGATACATACATGCTCGCATATAGTATCGCTTGACTGACCCATGCTTGGGGCCAGTGGGTCAAGTCCGCGATCACGAGTTGCATAAACCACAGATCATGTAGAATCTCCATGGATCCAATCTGTGTACTGTAAAAGCAGAAATTTTCGGTGGTGCAATATTTTCAGAATTCTCCAAAATCGGCGGTTCGGTGGAGGGAAATTTTCGGTAATACCCGCTTTCCAGGTAAGGGTGCTAGTACTACTCAGTAGTACCGAACAATTTCGGTGCTTTTTTTCGGTAAAAATTGTCGGCACCGAAGTTACCGAAAATAAAACACCACTGAAAATTTCCGCTTTTACAGTACATCATTTTGGGTATTATGATCTCGTGTTGTTTCCTTGGGTGCTACGACTCCCTCCCTGACATGCATTGATCCATGGCACGGTATGATTTGGGCAATTTCAGCCAATCAGTAGACGTTCTGAGAGGGGCATATTCAACGATACACCCCGCTCAGTTCACATGGGTCGCGCCAAGAGTGAATATTGGGAGGAGTCTTGGGAAAGTGCCCTGGGAGAAATGGATAGCACCATTGTATACATGCACTGCATTCCCCATAATTTCCTCGTGTTATGTCCTCGGGAAAATATTTAACGTATACCCTTCATATACTCATAGAATAATCCAAATGCATCTGCAGTCAACCACGGGTATAACAACCCACGGATAGTGACACTATCTTCAGACCTAGTAACAATATAGCCGTATATTATAAACCCCGTGAATGACGACAACTCCCAAATAGCAACACTTTTCTCATGCCCGATCAAGGGTCGTTCGTTACTGGCAAAGTTAGCTGGACATCATATCATGTAGTCATTATTATTTCAGGCAGGGACAATGAAATACACCCCCGCCCCCATTCCTGCAGAGGGAACAGTGCTGTGTCCAGGTCCGCATGCAGCATGGAGGTGCTAGTAAGCCGCTGGCATATTTTCTCTTGTGGATCGATGTACAGTGCGTGACAATGCTTCCACAGTGGTGGTGGTGGTGGTGGCAGGAGCATACTGCACTGCAGGGCATTACAGCACTGGCATACTATTATTTTCTCTTGCAGACGTGCCGTGCACGACAATGCTTCTATAGTGGTGGTCACGGTGGTGGTGTGGTGGTGGTGGTCACGGTGGTGGTCATGGTGGTGGTGGTGGTGGCGGCGGCGGCGGTGGTGGTGGTGGTCATGGTGGTGGTGGTGGTCATGGTGGTGGTGGTGGTGGTGGTGGTGGTTGTGGTGCTGCTGGTGGTGGTTGTGGTGCTGCTGGTGGTGGTTGTGGTGCTGCTGGTGGTGGTTGCGGTGGTGGGAGCATTCTGCACTGCAGGGCATTAAAGCAAGCTCGATTGTGCATGCATGGTGGCGGTGGGAAAGAGGAGCCAATGAAAGTGTGTACATATTTTTGTTGAAAGCACGAGAATTCAAAGAAAGCTGGCTGCTTCCTCTATTCCCATGATCGGCCAGTGCCTGCAGCACGAACAGTACATTGTATTACATGTATGTGCATAGAGAGACAAATAAACACTAACCTGAGCATGGGTACCGCTTGTATTCGTGGTCAGGAAAGTGAAAGTACGAACGAAGGAGAAGAAGATTGTTGACCATGGCGAACAACTGCATATCCAGAGGGCACACAGCTTGCCAGAATGGGTCGGCTACATCTTCGCTAATTTTCTATCCTAACAACATTCAGCTTCGAGGTCAAGGACGACGGCATTTTTGGAAGGAAATTTCGAATTTTGGAGAAGCTTGCTTTCGGAAAAATGTTCCTTTCACGCAAGGCATCATGCCAGGTCAGGCGTGTGAACCAGGTGAACTGTGTCGGCAGATCGACGTTGACGTTCCAGGCCGACAGTTTTTTGACCAAGCCGTGAATCGCCCTCGCTCGGACTCGCCCGGCTACGAAGGAGTAATTTTACAACTCTTCAGGCCAGCTACAGGTCTCTGACGGACAGCTGCAAGTGACGGATATCGGTCATTTGCAGCCACTACTTAGAGCCTCCTGGTCGTTGCAATCTGATACATAATATCAAGAGTAGATAAACAAGAGTGTGCAACTCCGGATCTCTCCTGCACAATCTGCAGATACCCCGCGCCCACGGCGGAATTTTTTGTTTACGTCACCTTTTTTCAGAGAAACGCGGCTTTGCCGCAGAGCAGTGTGAGAGCACGTGCTGGGCACCGACCTTGTAGTGTAAAGCCCAGCCAAGTGCACGAGGGAAAACTCTCCAAAAGGCTCGCAGCGCGTGCGTCGTCGAAAAGATTACGTCAACAAAAAATTCCGCCGTGGGCCAATCCATCCGGAGTTGCACACTCTTGTTTATCTACTCTTGATAATATACCTCCTAGATCCTGATGTATAAAAACTTCTTTTTCTTTCCAACTTCTGCCCGGCATGGGATCCGACCGGGGCTCTGCCAACCGCGGAAGGTTGTAGTAAGGTCACTGTTTTCGAGCACAGTGTCCTCCTCCTTGTTTCATGCTGTCAATCTAACAATTGCGTGATGCGTCCTACAAGGTTTATCTAATACTGTATAATTATCATGTAATTTCAGGTGAATTTAAATTTCGGTATCAGGGACCCGCCAGGTTTCAGGTGTAATGGAGAATTAGGTGACCAGCCTACCCTTCGCATACAGTGCATACTCTTTTTAGGTGTAATCTAAATTTAGGTGCCTGAATTCTCTACCGAAATCACCGAAATTAAAATTACACCGAAAATAACGTGTTATTACTGGTTTACCAGTTTTGGATTATATCATATGCTACATATCGCTACATGTAGGTTGCTTGTACTCAATCTGCGGACAGCATGCTGTTTCGTTCTTTGTGAACTCATCAGCGCAGCACAGAGGAATTGTATGTTGCTTGTAGGTGGGTTAGGGTACTATTGGTGTTTTTCTCGACCATGTACCACTCCCTGGTTACAACGTGACAACACTAGTGATTGTGCATTGACATACCAGTTCAAATAGCACACACACACACACACACACACACACACACACACACACACACACACACACACACACACACACACACACACACACACACACACACACACACACACACACACACACACACACACACACACACACACACACACACACACACACACACACACACACACACACACACACACACACACACACACACACACACACACACACACACACACACACACACACACACACACACACACACACACACACACACACACACACACACACACACACACACACACACACACACACACACACACACACACACACACACACACACACACACACACACACACACACACACACACACACACACACACACACACACACACACACACACACACACACACACACACACACACACACACACACACACACACACACACACACACACACACACACACACACACACACACACACACACACACACAGAGGCAGCCAGACACGCACGCGCGCACGGCACACACCACACACACACAAACACACGCACACGCACGCACGCACGCACGCACGCACGCACACACACACACACACACACACACTGTCGCCAAACTATAATGTTTATGTACATGCAGTCTTGCTCAGCTGTCACCCACATGCACAATGATGGAGCGCCGGATTACGGTATGCATGTCCAAGGTGTACCGGTACCGCGGTCAGGTAGTCGGCACGGCACGTGCTCAGACGTGTGCCCAGGTCATCGGGTGAAGGCAACAGGTCATGCATGCAGCTAACATGCCTGGCAGGCGAAAAGGGCATGGTGGAATGAAGTGGCGAAAAGACAAGTCAGGACATCCATGGTTTATGAAACATATTTGATAGGATAGAGTAACTCCTTCTTGCGGTGAATGCACACACCATTCTGAAGTAGTCATCACAAATAGAAAAAAATTAATAAGTCATGTCTCCTTCCATGATGATCCAAGGAGTAGAAATTGGGCAAGAAATCTCAGATAGAATGAAGCAGGAATTGGTGTTCAGTTGATCAGCATTTTGTCAAACTCAGGCTGTTAATTTTTTTATAATCATGTCCCATGCATCGGCCAAGGAAAGATTTGTTTAAAAAGCTAATACATGTGCTGTAAAGACACGGAACGGTCAGGAAGTCAAAAACCACTTCACAGATCACCGAGCTAAAGATATAAAATATATACGTGGAAGCTGCTCAAACAAGCGTCTTCACACCCTCTGGGGTGCTCAGAGTCGGCACAGGACAACCACAATTGGAGAATGGGTTGACTCGACTTTCAATGAAAGAAAAAAAGGATAGCGTGACCAGAGAAAAAAAAAGCTGAGCAGTGGGCGCCTAGATGCGCTGCACCCATGATTTGTAATCGTCGGGGTGTGCGGCCGACATCAGCACGGTGTACGTTGTGTGACTGCGCAGCAGCAGTAGGCACAAGAACAGAACAGAACAGGATATTGATAACAGCACAACAAGACACACACATTCATGTTTAATTGTTTAAATTAATAAAACAAAATCCGGAGGTAAACGGATAGTCATCGGCGGATATAAATGCCGGCATAATTTTGAGCATAATCACGGCTTTCTGAAAAATAGCATTGCCGAGCATAATTTAGTTGATCCTTCAGCATAACTGCCGCATAAAACCGCTAGGGCCTCAAAGGTCAAAAGTTCACCGTCCAGAGTCCGTTGTTTGTTACAAAGGCAAGGGAATCCTCCTATAAATAGATCTACACCCGGCACTCGGCAGGGAGTCGTACCATACCAAGGTATTTATCTGGCACGGCTCCGTGAAAGCCTGGAAGCGCCTGATCTACACTGTAAATGCAACAGGTGTGTATTAAATGTTTAGGGCGTCAAAGGTCAAAAGTTCACTGTCCAGAGTTCGTTGTTTGTTACAAAGGCAGGGGAATCCTCCTATGAATATACCTACATCAGGCCCTTTCAAGGAGTCGTACCATACCACGTGGCACGATTCCCTGAAAGGGCCTGATCTGCACTGTAAAATTGTTTACAATTTTACAAAATGTAACAGGTCTGTAATGTTTACTTCAGAAGTACGAGACGTTGGTTGGGGTGGTGAGACCACGGCGTGTATTGCTTACATAACCACTGTAAAAGCCATATACAGCCAACTTCGCTAACAACGACTGCGGATATAACGACAATTCGCGAATAACGACAGAATTTCCATGCCCAGAGCAAAGTCCCATCCCACCGTAATACATTATAATGAGACTTCGGGCATAACGACACTTCGCGAATAAGGACACCTTGTTGATGCCCGGCCGAGTGTCGTTATAAGCGAAGTTGACTGTATAATTATAACGAAGAGCTAACTCTAACGAGTTAACGAGGAGAAATCTGTCGTTAAAATAGAAATCGTCATACAGAAATCGATACATATACTGTCCTATTGAGCGTTGAGAATGAGTGAGAATCGTTACCTTTGGTACACGTAAACTAGTCAATTTTGGGAAATCGTTATATATGCGCCTCGTTAGAATAACGGCTTTTACAGTAGCTTGAAAACCTTCCATCCACGACGACAGCAGCGCTACATAGTCATTAGTTGTGACTGTCAACCAACGCATTCCTCCTGCAGTCCTGCATGTTTAGTCCTACGGCCCAATCCTATCAGAAGTTTCGTTGAACGTAATAGTCTATGGCGGCTGAAGTGGCGTGACGGATCGAATGGAGTCCGCGGGCGCCCGTGACACGGCACTTGATTATCCGTCTGACATGGAAGTCGACGTATTAGAAGAGGAAGAAGACAGCAATTGTAATGCAGCCGATCACCTGCAGAAAGCAGATGAAGCTCGAATTTCCAGAGACCGTTCCATGAAAAGAACGTCAACGGAGAAGGCGAACACCTCAGCAAATGCGAAGAAGACTCGAGTTTCGCTAGGTTCTAGCATCCAGCTTGTCAATATCAGTCCACACCAGAGGGTCACGGAGTTTCCAGCTGAATATCTTACCGTCTCCTCTGGAAAGCTTTATTGTGAAGTCTGTCGCACAGTAATATCCGATCGTCATAGTAAGGGCAAGGAGACACACCACCAGCAGCAGTCCCTGCACCAGCAGCGCGTCATCCAGAGCTGGGAGCAGTATCAACAACGACACAGCCTGGCTGGAACTGTGCTTTCCCAAGCAGTACCAACGGAGCAAAGTGTGCGACGGATTGAGACAGTGACTGCGTTCCTGAAGGCTGGCATTCCTTTAGCTAAGGCAGACTACATACAGCCCCTTGTAGAAGCAGGTGCAGCAAGGCTGACGTTTTCAACCCACCTAGCAAGCTATATCCCTTTTGTTCTGGAAGTTGAACGTGATAAATTGAAGGAGGAACTGAAAGACAAGCCATTCATTTGCGTCATATTTGATGGAAGCACACACTTGGGTGAAATGCTCGTCATCCTCAACAGATTCGTCCGTGAAGACTTTGAGATCTGTCAACGACTTGTCCGCGTACATGTGCTTGCAAAGAGCTTAAATGCCCAGCAATTGGCCAGAGAAATCATCACCACACTGTCAACTGATCTGCAATATCCAAGTGAGCGTGTGCTGGCTATGGTTCGTGATGGTGCAAGTGTCAACGGTGCTGCTGTCAAGATCCTCAAGGATGCCCTGTACCCACAGCTAGCTGAAATCATTTGCATCCCGCATTTTCTTGATCTGATTGGGAGAAAATTTGACACGGATCTGCTGGATTCCTTCTTTCAGGCATGGGCAGCTCTGTTTAGTCACAGCCCCGCTTCATGATTGGTTTGGGAAAGCCTGAGCGGCGAGAGTATCCGTTCATATTCTGCCACTCGGCGGTGGAGCTGGTGGGAGGTACTTGCACAACTACACCGTCTATTTCACACGTCAACGTATTCCTAGCTGGTCTCCAAAGCTGCCCGTCCACTGTGGCCAAGCCGAAACGAGTTCTTGAAGATCCAGATGAGCAAATACAGCTACGCCTGCAGCTGGCCATCACCATCGACATGGGGAAGCCAATTGTCCAGAAGACGTATCTGCTCGACGGCGATGGTGAAATGGCGGTGATGCCTATGCCTGCCTGCAAGAGCTGTGTTCTGCTGCTGCAGTAGAGAACTACCCCGAAACAATTGCAACAGCCGATGACATAGCTGGTGGCAATGCGGCCGCTGCCGCAGCTATGGTGACGCAAGCCAAGGTATTCGTAGCACCTGCGGTGCAATACTTCCGCACCAAGTTTAACAAGCAAGGTACCCCACTGTTTGAAGTGGTGAAGTTATTCAAGGCGGTGCGAATTCTTTGCCAACAACAGGCCAGAGCAATTGGCTTGACCGAAGCCCACGTGCAAGCGCTTAGAATTGTTCCCGGCATCAGTGATGACGCCCTCGTAGGCCGTCTGCTGGAGGAGTTGCCGGCTTACATTGTTGCTGCAGAAGACACTGTCATCGATGACACTCATCGTCGTCTAAGATGGTGGAGGAATTAGGTTGGCCTTCAAGCATGGAAGCTTGCGGCCCGCATTGTGTTTGCGCGGCTGCCATCGTCTGCTCCAGCAGAGCGTAAATTCTCCCTTTGTGAAGCTGCGACCAGTTCACGTCAGGCACGCTTGCTTTGTGACCAACTGGAGGCATCATTGATGCTCCAGTTCAATCGTGGTCACATCTCCCTGCTCTGAAGTAGTTGCAGAGTTGTTGCAGTTGTGTTGACTCCAAATCACAGCTTCTTCCTCTGGCTTTTGAATTGGTGATCAGCACATGCATGTAGGATGTGGTCTCTCCAGCAGCCAAAGCTGCCACTGTTCGACTGGTATTTCTCTTATTGTTTTCAAATTTCTTGCACATTATTCTCCCAAATGCATATCTGAAGTCGTGTTGTCAATGCAGTGTCATGCATAAGTCACTGCAGTGACTCTGCATTCTATTCTATTATTTCTGTACATAATTATGATTGTATTGATGTTGCAGTGCTTATTGCTGTGTCCTGGTTCCTTCTCCATAGCTGAGACTAGATCTTCTTCCATGCAGTTTTCTCCGGAAGTCCACATTTGATCCCGAGTACACATTCTACTGTAGAGGCAGAAAATTTCGTCGGTCAATAATTTCGTAACTCCAAAGAAAAGGAGTTCGTCCGGTTGAAAATTTCGTCCATGGATCATACGAGTGTATAGAAAAGCTGGACAAATCGATATTCGTCCTACACTTAATTTAGTCCAAAAGCTCCTTGGACGAAAAAGACGAAATTATATTCCAGACGAATATTTCTGCTTATAATGTATACTATATTATAGTATACATTTTAGTGGCATTATAAAAATGAAAGAGTACAGTGTCATGAAGCATAATTTGAGCATAATGTAGTGATTTTCAGAGCATATTGCCAGCATACTGAAAAGCATAATCCGTGTGATTTTCGAGCATTATCTGCCGACGTCTACCAACGGAGGCTCCTTCGATTTAGGCTAAGGGCCTGTGGAGAATCCACAAATAGAAAACTAATACAAGACACATATGGCTATAAGACAGCTGATCAGCTCTTCGCCTCCGGTGTGTGTTCAGATTACCCTGCACATTTGTGCCTTGAGCACTCTATTCATGCTGCCTCGACGGCCCTATTCGTTTAAAAAAACGGTGACTGGCCCGAAACGTCAATCATTTTTTCGACATCACTAATAAAAGAAATTTCATCCAGCGCATGCGCAAAGAGTGAATAGCAACTAAATAGAGTGGTTGTCAGTTGACAAACCCCCTCTTATTTACAATGCAGTTGCGTGATGTCCACCACTTTCTGAACAATAAATGCCCTGCTATCTCAAAGTAGTGTTCAGGTTAGATGAGTACACGTACAGTCATGATAATCATGTGCTGTTGCTGGGCTCAAGCTTTATTCAAATTTGTATGCAACACGGCAAACATACATGTACCTTCAGTTCGTG